TTTAAGTATGTACTATCTGCCCCGAGTTGAAGTGCACCCCCAAGCGGCAAAGAAAGACAAACGCTAGTAAGTTTTCCAAGCGGGTTCTTGCGCGCGTTTTGTGTGTACACCAAAACCACACATTCTGGAATAAATTTGTGATGCGTACTCAGCGTGCTCCACGTCAAATGCATCAATGATATCCATGATAAACATGCACTTCTGATGTGAGTACCAAAAAAAAATCACACCCCCTTTGTTCCGCTCGGAGCGGATTAAATTTTTTAATTTTTTGTAAATTCGGCAATTTTGTTAATTATGTACCATTGGTGTACTGGTAGTCAGGCTTACAGAGATAAATTTTTATTTAACAAACTTCAAGCATGCTCCTGAAAGATACCTATGCTGATAACTCACTACTTCTGAAATAGCTCACAATATACAGGTACTCCATAAGTTAACAGGTTGAGTGGTGACAATCAGTACCATATATTCTGGTGGTCTGTTCTGGATTAACTCTAACAAGTAAGCCACACAACTGCATGTAAATCTTTTCTTTTCAAACATGTGTGGTAAATTGTATTTCTTTCTGACCCAAGAATGGTTTTCATTGGGAGTATTGGCTTATATCTTGTGCAGTCCAATCAGCATTTTTCAGTTACACCTGTCACTGCTGTTGTGATTTTTGTGAACAGCTTATTTCCTCATTCCAGGACTGAGGAAGTATTTAACTGTACAAGGTCCTTATGTACATGTGCTGTACAGGTACATGTATTGAACAGGTTGCTTGTTTTTATTACTTCACTATAGCACCAGGGAAAATAATTTCCCATTTGTCCAGAATCACAAGAATCAATCTTGTTAAACAGAATTTAAAGTGAACATTGAAAGTACTGGCACATGCCGAAAATATTCAGAGTATTACATTGACATTTGACAACGGAAGTATCAGGGAAGTTATACTTTACTTGCCTGAAAGTTACGTGTACTGATACATGTATAAACAGGCACACCATACTGGTACCTTCCAACTGTTCCTTTGATCAGTTGATTCTCCCCCCCCCTTTTTTTAAATTTCCCACCTGTGCATGAATAAAGTGTGAACTGAAAAAGTGTGGTGCTGGTAAACAACATGAAACTTCCTCTTAAAAATTCTTCTCAAGTTTGAAGTGTGATTGTGCAAGATTTACATACATGTATACGTAAATCAAGCAACAACAGCATCAAAAGATTTGGGTTTTAGGCCAAGTGAAAAAGTGTCTTAACCCTCACAGCCCCGAATGCTACAAAGTACTACTTAGTAGTAAAATGTAGTACTCAGCCCTGTCCCTTGTAAGAGGACATGACATTATTATTCTCTGAAGCCATAAAATATAATAGAGAAGACAATGTACCATACAGTGCTGTGGCACTATGAATGCATGGTTTCATTGTTCTCTGTACAAGTAACCAATGGAATAAACCCAGCCAGAAATAGCAATTTGTAGCAAGCGCTAGGTCCTTCAGGCTGAGAGTGTTAGGTAGTATTTTGTAGTACTGAGTACCCTAAGCCAAACAACGCCCTGTACTGTTAGGGTTAAAGCACGTTAAGGAAGAAAGAGAAGGAAGGCAAATCCTGATTGTAGGCTGAATGAGTGCACCATTGTAATTTACATTTTGTCTGGCCTACAGAATTCATATAGGCTTTCCCCCCAGGGGCATTACATCTGAAGTTTTTTTAAATAACAATAATGGTTTAACTCCAGTTGCCCAAACTAACCCTTATCCTGTTGACTATTGATATGCAAGTTAATCCTGTTGGATTCGACATCGTTGTGGCTGATGCTGTACATTTAATAGTACATGTACATGTATGGGCTGCTTCAAAAGACGTAGTAAAACAAGCCTCCCTTTGGTGATCTGTGGAGAATTCTATTTTCTGCCAGCTTCACCGTGAAAGAAAGCAGTCAGTGTTTGTTCTATAACACTCCTGCAGATTCCGCTAAATATAAAAGAGAACTAATTTGCTTCATTCTAAATACATGTACATAAAATTTAATTCTTGTTGATTAATAAATCTGCCGAAAATTCAACAGTACTTTTCTAAACATCTTCACAAAATGTTTAACCCAGGTCTGTAGGGCTAGCACTTCTTTTACAGTGCTTGCGTTCATGCATATGCATGTACCCTACATCGCTATGGGTAACCTCACATGTAGTATCGGTACTTTGGTTACCATGGGTGAAGTTCTTTTGGCTGTGAAAAGCAAGAAAACAAATATACATGTACATGTAGTAACTGCTTTGTGATTAGCTCTTGGCCAGCCAAGATCTGTGAGAATCTGTGGGTGAGGCATTGAACGCATGCTTTTTACAAAGCATCATGGACCTGGTTGTAGCTGTACAATTGAACCAGCTAGCCAAGCATGACAAGCTTTTTGGTCCAGTGATCTTCAATATATCTTCATTGTGGGTGGAACTCTCACCAAACAGACCTAATTTAACTAACTTCACAATCACTTGAGAGAACTACCAGTACATGCAGGCCTCGAAATAGTACTAGCCTGGTGTACAATTCTAGCGAGAAATGCTCCGGGCTACCTAAACTTGGTTTCTTCGGGTTGCCCGGTGGGCTAGTGAAAAATTCAGAATAAGCCTACCTGTTAAAACTTAGATCAAAATACATGTATATAATGCTCATCGTGATAATAAATACAAGATCACAAAAGCTGAGTTATTGTGGATGTGTTTTTACTTGTGTTTTTGAAACGTGATGGTCGCGCGACAGGGCGGAAAGCGACCGTGAACACCATGAACAGACTAGACTGGTGGGTTGTAGTACTGGTATAGCATAGCACATGGTACGGCGCGATACCGCACCTGCACACTATTCTCGTTTACTGTTTAGGCCACTTCTGCTTCAGACTACATGCCTCTCAAAAATAGTATCGGTAGGTCAGAATTTTGTTTGGTCAAATTTTGTGCTAATGTAATAGACTGAATGGGGGATGAAAGCTTTCAAATATTGTCTCAAACAGTGATAAAAACATGTCTTGATATTTGTTAAATTTCTGCAGTCAACAGATCACGAGAATTATGGACAAATCACACAATGTTAGTCAGGTAATCACGACGGTAAACTGGCCCGCAATGTCCATGTATCGCGTGGTAAGCATACATGATGCATCCAGACGGGCAATAAACCACGTACCATGGCAGGAACTCGTGAGCACAGAAAAGAAATACATAAGCAAGAGACCAACTTCTGTGAATTAACTTGAAGAAATCCTCTTGCAACATCGATGTTTTTTCAACCTGTAGCTGTATGGCTGCATGCGTGTACGACACCGATGTAGTTTTAATCAACTCGCGCCCGGAACGTAAAGACTGGTTAGCACATTTCCATCTCGCGTTCTTTTGCATGGGCGCGGGAACCAGTGCAGCTTTACTTTCATGCATTGAGCTTTGTGCACAAAAATTTCACTACTGCGACTGTGAAACGCAAGTGGAACTCGTGAAAATCTTTTCAAAAATTGCAAATGAAGTAGGAAAACAATAAAAACAAGTGTTTTAACATGAGTTGTTTTAAAGGGTTGTTGAAAGGTGTTTTGTGAAGACAGAAAAGACATCGGCATTAATTTTTATTTTATTTTATTTTGTAAATTTGTTTTTCTAACTTGCCGATAAAAATGTTAGGGTGTGCCGAAAAGTAAGGGTCGCTCGGGAAACCGAAAACAGAAGTATTTTTTTGAAGGGGGGGCCGTATCAATTCTTCTGACCTTAACTGACCACAGCCAGCTATACTGGGCATTGCAGGAGTTCTTGAAAGCATTTGATACGAAGTATACACAAAGCCGCTTGCAAACAGCACCCTATTTCGATTGGAAAAAGTTTTCTCTCGTTCACCGCGGAGGTCAGAAAGTAAGCAAAAAGTAGCATTTTTTGCCAAAGGTAAGCAACCCAAATGAGAGGAAAGATGGAGCAAAGAGATAATTTTGATCCCAGGTCCGTGACCAGTGACTCCAGTGGCTTTTAACTAACATACATGCCTCTTTATTATTTATACCATCAGCCTTTTATTTCCCGAAATGTCAAATTCTGTATTGGTAAGCTGATAACAAATTTCAGGTTTTTAACTTTTTTTATATACGGGCTAGGAAAACTCTAAATGGGCTTGTAAAATATCCATTGAACTAGCCCAGTGGGCTAGCCAGGAAAAAAAGTTAGCGCAAGGCCTGACGTACCTTGGTGAAAGCATTAATTCCCTTCTGTAGAAAGTAGCATAAAGAGATGGTGACAGGTTTCTGGAACATACTCCTTGGGTTTATATGCATAGCCAGGCTGCCCAAAAGGGGCCTTGTAACAAAGACTGTACTCGGAACAAAGACCAAGCTGCTGGGAATTGCCAACTTTTTTTTTTCAGTTGCCAGCAGTGGAGGAAATCCGTTATTGTTTTGAATAATTTTACCACTGTTTGTGGCGTTCAGGACGAGCGGATTACCACCGGGGACTAAAGCGCTCCCGCACTCCAGGGATGAGTGGTACAATACTGCTGCAGGCTAATCTGGTTCGCATTTGAAAAGATGCAAGCAGCGCACTGTGCCAGTTTTGCATACAAAAGAAAATTAGTTAACACTGCACAATTTGGGCTCTCTTTACAAAGTGGCAGGGCTGGTTGAAATACTCAGGCATCAATAGATGTTGTCTATCAGAGTAAAGTAGCCACCAGACAGTCATTCATGTGGGTATAAACGTCCAGTAAATGAAGTTATGAATTTTTGAAGAATTTTGAACATGGAAAATCTTGAAATCCTCCGGGTATACGTCATGCAACTTCAAATTAAACCCGGCAGCATATGGTTAATATTTGCAGGTCCTCTACCCGTTATGATACCCATAAACCTCATTGTACCTGCATTCATACTTGGTTCACAATATTGATTGTTGATAGTTTTTCTTGTGCATGATATTCCAGTGTATCAAATCTTAGTGTCACTTAGTAAAAATTCGTTTTTTATTTCTTGTGTTTCTCTTACCTACAGCATCATGCCCCAATATATCCAATCCCCATGCGGTGATTGTGATGGTAGGACTTCCTGCTCGAGGAAAGACCTATATCTCCAAGAAACTTACCCGCTACCTCAACTGGATTGGTGTCACAACCAAAGGTATGTATAATCCCTCCATCCCTTCAAAATCTTCTCGGAAGTTGAGCATTTTGTTTTAACAAGGCTCATTGTTTCTTGAAATTGAGCTGTGAAGAGTGTTCTCATGGCTTCCTTCATAGGGAAGATTTTGGGGGATTTATATGTGGGACAATGCCAGAATAGTGTCAGAATATCTTTGAAAGGTCAACTTGAGGTCATTAGTATGATATCAAGATCAATAAGGGATAGGAAACGGATTTGCCTGCAGGAGATATTGGTGAGACGGTATACGTGATGTCTTAGAATAGGGTCAGTTGGGTACCTTATGGATGATTATCATTCTGTCTTAGATGGCCATCTTCTTTTTGGTGACTTGCTGTTTTGCTGTACATGTACATGAACCTGTAGATTTTCCTGCAAGACCTATGGTACATGTACATTTCCTTGAGAAATTTTCTATCAAACACAGTAGTTTGTAATGCGTTGTATGCATAGTGAAGTGATAAGAGCTACCATGTTTAAACATTTGCCTGTTGATTTGCTCTTCTTATACATGTATATGTACATGTATATTGACAGTTATTTCTCTGATCACAGTTTATTTATTTGGGTACATTGCCATTACCTTCGGCTTTTATGAGCAGATGTTACATATTTTCATCTTGTACCTGTTTGTTTAGATTGATATGCAATTTTTGTAAGTCCTCGCAATGGCACCCAGGTTGACCTTTGACACCAAATGTGAACTGTACCAGTACATGTGTGCATCTGCCCATTATTTTTCAGACCTAAATATATTACCTACATGAGGTATTGATTTCATGAATATAATCAGATCTCTTATGCGTCTGTACCACCAAATGAAGGCTGTATCAATAGGAGAAGATGTTTGCTTCCTAGAGGTAGTCCATCCAGTCCATTAGGGATGTGGAAGTCTCTTGTTGGTACATGCAGTTGTCGCTGACAATTGTAACATGCATAGTCTTTGAGTATAAAGTGTAATTTTCCTTTTTAAATTTTTTTTTTCTTTTTGCAGTCTTCAATGTTGGAGAGTATCGGCGTCAGGCTGTTGGGAAACCAAGTAATCATGACTTTTTCCGACCAGACAACAAAGAAGCTCAAATAATAAGACAGTAAGCTTGATTCCTAAATCGAACAATTAAATGATGCTGTCAACATCTCTGGACCCACAGTAGTTTGGCTGATCTCTTGTGGCATGGCTGACAAAACTATGACATGACAGGCGTTTTTCCTAGAAATATTCAGTTTCAAAATGAAGCTCATTTTCTCACGTTCTTTCACATCCTTAGCTTCATTTAAGTATAATTCAGTCAAATCATAGAGGAAGGACACAGAAGGAGTTTGAACTGCCCGGGCTGTAACATCTGGCCAATTACTGCTTGCCGCTATGCCTGGTTTGTCCATAGCCAGAGCACAGCGAACGCTTGCTATGCACCATCTGTTTCACGATCACGAAACCCGTTTGTACACCATGATCGCCGCTGCAATTTGTCGATGGTAATCTTCATCCATTGCAATCTTCATTCATATAAGAATTTGAATATTCATGCATTTGTTGATGCTTTGTATGATCTCAGTACAACATCCAATGTAATGCTTGTGTAGTTGCTTGCATTATGCTGTGTGCCCTAAAACCTTATGTGCAGTCATTGCCCTTCATGAACTCTTTCTTCTGGAGTTATTTTGGGAATAAATAGCCCGGTTGTTTACGAGATTTTGTCTTTGGTTGAGTCATTTTTATTATGGCGTTTGTACAAAAGTGTATTTTCTGAGATTTCACGATCACTCCCTGTGATGAAATATAGTATTTTGTTCCTAATGAATCAAGCTTTCCAGTAGTAGTGAACATTTTGTTGGCCAGTCTTAGCCAAATTCGTACCAAGTCATTGAACACTGATGTATTGGAGGGAGGAGAATAAAATTACAAACTTTGCATGGATAATGGAACAGTGTATAAAAATTTTAAAAGTTTATTTACGATGGGAAAAGTAGGTCTTATATCAGGAATTTTTCTCTCTCTATTTCCTGGGCAAATCGATAATTTGTATTTAATTGCCAGCAAAAAACTATAAGTATTGCTAGGATATTACAAGCCCTGCTTGCCCGGTTAAGATGCAGGCAGTAATCAGGCATTTTTAGAATGTTTTCTATTATTCGTCTGACTCGGCGGCGACCACATTGAACACTTTGAAGTGCCTGAGTTGCAACTCCTTCTGTGTCCTTCTATGGTCAAATGAACTTCACATTTGAAATGTGATTCCAAGTAGTGTTATATAAGCTATTAGACAATTGTTTTTATTAGCCAGTGGGAGACTGAGATATTCTGTCCATGTTTTCTTAGATTGTTTCACTCCAGAGAGATTTCAAAAGTCTACATTGGGTACTGATGTATTGGGTACATAGTGACACAAAGGATGTAACTTTTGAATAAGACTCTTGGTGTTCATGTCATTTTTATGTTTGATATTCAAACCGTTTCAAGCAAGCATCTATCTGAGACCTCTCATTAAAAACAATCTTTACTTCTGTTCATCATATACCCTCAGTTAATCTTCTGCTTTTCTTTTATTAGTAATATGCTCAGTAAAGATGTGCATACTTCTTTTGTTATTTTAGACAATGTGCCATGATGGCTCTAAAGGATATGGCCAAATGGTTTGAAACAGATGGTGAAGTGGCGGTAAGTTTTACTTCACGTTTTCTTTTGTGTGAGGGCATTGATTGATCATTAACTGTTGACAAGAAAAAAGTGGAAGCCTTTTCTCTCTAACAAGTCAGTTACATGTACTTAACCCTAACACTCCTCAGTCCTCCAACAGGTGAAGGATTAAGGAGGGTTAGGGTTATGGTAAATGTGGAAGTGTCCAGGAGGGTGTGGTACTTTATACAGCAAGGGTTAAGCAGTGGTCCTGATTGGAAATTCCTATGCAGCGGCTAATACCAGATCGTTTAGAATTGAATATTTATCCTGCATTTGTTTTACTAATCAGCCTTTGCATTGACTCATTCATTAGGTGTTTGATGCCACCAATACAACAAGGGAAAGGAGAAAACTTATCATGGAATTCTGCAGTCAACGATGTTACCAGGTGAGTGAATGGTCTGCCATTGTGGCATGTTTCCACGGCTTTTTGGCGTGACTGAATCATTAAGTCACCATCACCAATCATCACCAGTCAGTCAGTTTCTGTAGCAGGAATGCATGTGGTATATGCATGACTAGTACTGTACAAACAGATTCAGACTACATTCTTCACCTGTGTTGCTCACAACTGGTTAGCAAAAACATTGAGTCCCTGGAAAAACAGGAAGGATTTTTAGCCAAGAGTATTGGTTTCATACCAAAATGGTTTTCACACATCTCCATTGTTAGCTAAACGCTATGTACCTTTTCACATTTGTTGCATTTAAAAGACTTATGAAGAAAGTTTTATTTACCAGTTGGTTTATCAAAATATTTTGTTCTTATATTTTCGTTTTATATCAATTGAATAAAGTATAAAAGTCATATTTTAGAATTGTCATTGATTTATTTGTATTAAAATATTTTCAGGTCTTCTTTGTGGAATCCATTTGTGATGATCCTAATGTTGTTCAGTCCAACATTGAGGTATGTAGCAGATTGACTCTATCTTTCAATTGAGCAGTTGCTTCAATCTAGCAGGTGCTTTGATTGGCAAAAAGTCTGTCCTTTCTCTTCCGTGCAAGGCTGATTTATTGGAACAACACACCAAAGTGTCACCTTGAACCCCTTGATTTTGCAATGTCAGTCCATGGAACTGAGACAGATCTACATGTACATTTTATTCACTTCCATTGTTGTTGTGTAGATTTGAGATCTTTGACTTTCACACTGTGTTTCTTGTAGACTTCCCAGTTGTTTTTTGGGGTGTGTGTGTGTCTTCAGTTTTGTGCAGGTTTAAATGGATAGGGATTTACATGTAAAGCTCCTAAAGTATTTTTCTTATGTTATTGAAAACAAATCAAAGAAGGGCCCAACTCCAACAAAACTTTTTTTGAGTTCAAAAGAAAAAACTGAATGTTTTTGAAGGAGTTGCAAAGAAAGTCAGTTAACTCTACTAGGCCAAAATAGTCAAGCTGGGCCTTTGATTTAATGAGGTATTCAATGGCACATCCAGTATTTTGTGTTGAATGTGAGAAAGCAGAATAAAATGTCATCCTTTATCAATTGTTTTCTTTTTTAATCAAGTCAGGTAGGTACATGTATTTGTTGACATGTATTCATGCTGCTAGATTTATGTAGGTTTCACAGACTAAAGATAATATCTGTCTTTGGTCTTTCTGGTCATTGCTGCAGGAAGTCAAGCTTGGCAGCCCAGATTACAAGGACAAAGATAAGGAAGAAGCAATTAATGATTTCACTCGGAGAATAGACCACTACAAGGACTCTTATGAGCCTCTGGATGAGACTCTAGATAGGTGGGTCTGAAACCAGGGGGTGGGTCTGAAACCAGGGGGGGGGTCTGAAACCAGGGGGTGGGTCTGAAACCAGGG